GCTGCAGCATTTAGAATGGATTTATGTATTTTTTTGTAGGAAATCAAAAACCCAAAAGCTGCACAAAGCAAAAGCATTCTTAGCTTTTTGTAGTAGTAGCCAGGAAAATTGGAGCCGACTCTTGTATTATTAATTACGCATTAAATGAGTCGATATGTTAACCAGTCAAATATAGTTGGTAGAACCCTAGAAGGAAGAAGGGACCAAACTCAAGTGGCGGTCGGTTCTAGGTGGGTGATGAATCAATGGGTGAGAAGGGATAGAAAAGTGAGCCTTGGGGTATCATATGCACAGGTCGTGGCAGGGAAATTTGCAGGAATTGAGGAAAGCAGGTCTTCAATGATTGGCAGTATGCAAGAAGTGGTGCAAAACGGGAAGGAAGAGACAAACACTGAGAAGGAAACAATTTTTTCAAGGAGGCAAAGGGGTACAACAATTGGCTCTAGAGTTTTCTCCCATAGAGGATGAGAATGCATGGCTAAAGAGAAGCATGGTGGCAATGGTCCGATCATTAGACATAGTGAAAAAAATACATAATAGATTGGATGTTGATGGTGTGATGGTGAATGTGGCTTTGGTAGAGGGTAGACCGGTGATATTAGTGGACAATTTGGAGGGTTGTTTACAGGAGTCTCTTAATAGTAATAAGGAATTGGTGGATTCGTGGTTTGAATGGATATAGCCATGCTCATTATCTACTACTTCGACAAGGCAGAGATTGGTTTGGTTTCGTTTTTCGCATGTACCGTTGAAGGCATGGTGTGAGAGATGTTTTGCAGAGTTAGGTGGGTTGATAGGAGAGGTGATTCTTGTTGATGAAGATACAAAAAGTAAATCATTTTTGTGTGAAGGTAAAGTCTTGATTTTGTGTGAAGGTAAAGTCTTGATTTTGTGTGATGATATGTGTAAAACTTCAAAAACAATCACACTAAAGGTGGATGGCGAGGTTTTTCCGATTATGGTGACGGAGGAGCAGTGGAGAATGGATCCGGATTGGTGGTTGTTCGGTGGACGGCGAAATCCGGTTGATTCTGAATATGGGACAGAATATTCCGATGATGGGGATAGTGATGCGATCTTTAATGTTAATGATTTGTTAGGGGTTGAAAGATAGAAATACATCGGAGATGTTGCAGAAACCGTTGAGGATTCAAATGAGAAGTTAAGAAGGATGGCTGTTTCAAAAAATGTGGATTTGGTTGAATTTTTGGAACCCAATGGGCCATCCAAGCATGGGCAGGTTGAGAAGGAGTTAGGTGGGCTTCATGAAGTGGGTTTACAAGTGCAGTGTGTGGCAAAAGGAAGCAGTGATGGGCTTCGATCTTCTTTTGGACAGTAGCAACAGCAGCAACACGTGCCTTCGACAACCAAAAAATGTAAAAGCTTGGGGAAGATATATGCTGGGATGGAAGATTTGGAGAACCTGAGGTTTATGGGAACAGAGTTGGTGACAGCAAGAACCAAGTTCAAAAGGGGACGACCAAAACCTGAAAATCAAAAAGAAAATCAAGAAGATGTGCAAAATACAAGCCAATCATTGTCTGATGGGTGCATCCAACACCGAAATTCTCTAATTTGGCAACAATTGGAACTAGAAGAGGTGCGCAACCTGTTTGAATTGGGGCAGAGATTAGGGATTCGGTGTCAACAGAATGAGGATGAGGTGTTGTTGAGGTTGATGGCTTTGGAAGAGAGTGATGCCACCAATTTCAGGGGAGTTTGAATTTCTGAAAGTGCCAAGTTGGTGGTTCTTTGTGAGAATTGTTTTATGAATTATGAAAGTTATTTCTTTTAATGTCAATGGTTTGGGTACTTTATTAAAAAGGAAAGAGGTTTCCAAATTGGTTAGGAAGGAGGAGCCGAATTTTCTATTTATTCAAGAGACTAAATTACAAAAGATTGAGGGTTCTATGTGTAGATTTTTGTGGAATTCAGATGATTTTGAATGGGTAATGCAAAAATCAATCGGTAATTCTGGGGGCTTGTTGTGTATTTGAAATAAGAAGAGGTTTGTTAAACAAAGTGTGTTTGAGGGTGATGGTTTTATTGGTATTTCTGGTGATTGGGGTCAGGAGCAGCTACAGTGCACCTTTGTTAATATATATGCTCCTTGTGATAGACATAGGAAGCTGTTATTGTGGAAGGAGATTGGTGATTTAGTTTTAGAAAGGAGCGGCAGATGGCTTTTGGCTGGGGACTTTAATTTCGTCCAGAATATATCAGAGAGGAAAGGTAAAATGGGAGAGACACAAGATATGCATGATTTCAATCAATTTATTGAAGCTATTGGGTTGATGACTGTTAATTTGATGAATAGAAAGTTCACATGGTATAGGCCTGATGGTTCTTCGATGAGTAGGATTGACAGGTTCCTGTTATCTACTGATATGAGTGTCTTAGGTTCGGATTGGAATAAAGTTGGAGTTAGAAGATCAATTTTAGATCATTGTGCTATCATTTTAAAGTCAAGCAACGTAGATTGGGTTCCAAAGCCTTTTCGAGTGCTTAATGCATGGCAAGAACATCCAGACTTTCGGGGGTTGGTGGAAGATAGATGGAAAACATTGCAGGTAAATGGATGGGCGGCTTACAAATGCAAGCAGAAACTGAAACTATTAAAGGAGGATTTGAGAAGTTGGAACAGAAATGTTTTTGGCAATGTGGAGGCTCAATTTGTTAATTTATCAGAACATATTGAGACATTGGATAAAAAAGTGAGGAAGTGGAGTTGAGTGTATAAGAGGTGGCGAGGAGAAAAGAGTGTTTTCAGGAGATGTGGGATATTCTAAAGAAGAGGGAAGCTGTTTGGAGACAAAAATCACGAATAAATTAAGTTCACCTTGGGGATACAAATACAAAGTTCTTTCATAGGAGTGTGCAAGCAAGGAGGGCACAAAATGCAATTTTAGGGGTTATGAGTGAGGATGGATGGGTTGAGGAACCAGATGTGGTGAAAGCAGAAGCTATGAAGTATTTTAGTCAATTGTTTCAAAATGAACAATGGAGCCGCCCAATAATGAGTGGTTCTCAGTTTAAAAGCATTTCGGAGGCACAAAGACAATGGTTAGAAAGACTTTTTTCCATTGAGAAAATTGAAGAGGGACTTGAAAGTTGCGATGGGTCGAAGGCACCAGAACTGGATGGCTACAATTTTAATTTCATAAAGTTTGCTTGGAGCACAGTGAAGGACGACTTTATAAATTTCATGATGGAGTTTCATCAACATGAGAAGCTAGTGAAAGGCTTAAATTCTTTATTTTTGGCATTGATTCCTAAGAAGTTAAATCTTATGCATTTTAAGGAGTATAGGCCTATTAGTTTGATTGGCTGTTTGTACAAACTTTTGGCTAAGGTATTGGCGAATCGGTTGAAAAGGGTAATAACAGACATTATTAGTGATTCGCAATCAGCATTTGCGGGTGGACGACAATTGGTTGATAGTGTGTTGATTTTGAATGAGGTAATGGATGAGGTAAAGCAAAGGAAGCAGGCGA